TGTAAAAACATCTGTAGCTCATTGATCTTTGAAAAAGTTTTAGAAAAACAAGTAAAAGTCTAAAAAATTTCTTGAATTTAAATTCATCTACAAAAATATTTCTGAAAAATGTCATGATTCATACTTCCTTTTCTTGCATATTTATTATGTCTGTTAAAGCTAACATTGTCATGCGAGAAGATCCTCCCTAAAAGGTTAAAAAGTAAAGATCGTAAAATGATTTTATTCCGATCTTAAGTGGTCCAAGATATACTAGTAATTCTAGCTGTATAAATGAAATCTATTGATAAGGCTACCATTCATTCTTTTTTCTAAAACTTGTTTATAACAAAACCTAGTCTTGTTTTTGAAATGCGATTAATTCCTCGTTCTTTGCAGCAATCAAAAGGTGGAAGTATGGGTGCTATACCGGAATCACTAACCGGTATTGGAAGCCGTGTTTCGACTGCATTTCGTGATCGCGCAATGCAGAGAGCTAGTTCAGTACCTGCTGCTCAGTTACAGGGTGATCTGCTTCATGCAGCTGATGATATAACAAATAATATGAGCACACTGCTCAGGGAACTTGGTCAAGGTTCAAATTTTTGAAATCTATTTCCTTTTCTTATTAATCAACATTTGGTGAATTAAACACTGTTAGAAGAAATTGTGTAATTATCAAATATCTCTAATTCTCAGTGATTTGCTTATGATGTCACAGAAATTCTTACGAATTCCTTAGCGTTTACTGTTCTGGATAAGCTTTTTTTTTCCCCCCTAGCATTTGCCTTCTTAAGCAGGTGATCATAATTTCTCTTAATTACCAGTTTGATATATATGTAACCCACTAGAAATTACTTCTCGTAACCATGACAGTATCATTGAGTGAATGAAAGTATTATTTTCTTTTCTGGAGAAATTTTCTATCGGTTTTGAAGAAATTACATTAAAAATTAGTTATCTTACCTTCAGCTATCGAATCGTTCATTCCTTATTTTAGCCATTAATTAAAGTTTGCATTCATTTTTGCATATTTCTTCGTTATTTACTGCTTGGAAACGAGTTAAAAAGTTACTTTTCGGTAAGGAAAAATTAATACTTTCGCTCATTATCGAATAATTTTAACGAATAAATGAAAATGTTGGAAATAAATAACCAAATAAATTATGAAATAATTTTCAGCTCAAAAAGATGTTATAAATGGTGGTGCTGGAACAGAAAGCAGTTAGATTAGGTATCGATTTTTATTGAAATATCATAGTGGAATAAAAATAGGGACAGTGCTGTTTATTGATGAAAAAATTTTTGTTCATCATGGATTATTTGTGATACTCGTTCATCAAAAATCTATTTTAACATCCTGTAATCTTTCTGGATCATTCTCTGTCTGCACGCACTACCAAATATCCAGGCATTTTAAATGTCAAACATTCCTTTCTTATTTCATCTATTTATTTTTTCCCCTAAATTTCATTTCTTTAATTAATTTATAGCTGCTTAAATTATTGCTGTTTTTCTCATTCTCGGAAATTTTAATATTCAAATCAAATTGACATAGATCAACATTCATCATTATTTTCATTTATGATTTTATGAGGTATTAGAGCAAGATAGATAAAACATGGAATTTATAGTTAATGAAGATCGTAGCTACCAAATAATTATTATCTTCAAAAGTTATCAAAATCAAAAAAAAAAAGAAAACGTTAACTAAAATTTCCAAAAAAAAAAATTATTTTTGTGCAGTGCTGACTGAGAATGCACCGGCTGTTTTCAGCTATCATTTCTACCTCTCTGCGAATTCGTTTCTTCATTTATTTAAATTAATTACAATCTGCTTTATGTAACATTGTCATACATTATTGGGATTATTATACCTATCATTGAATGCAACATTTCAATACTATTATCAAATTATCATGTTAAGTTAATAGATGATAAACAAATTTGTTAATAATTGTTAATCAATTATCAAATATCAAAAATATCCGGAAGTTAAATATTTTTTGTTAAAAAATGAGATGATCAAGATTTATGCTACTTTGATTTCAAGAATATACCAATTTTTTTCCTTCTTTTTTTTTTTTTTGTATAACTTCTTAATTCTGTCAAATAATTGTAACTTATATAACTATACTGGGTTTTTTTTTGATTTATGTTTTGGAAAAATGTTCCCATTATTATTATTATTATTATTATTATTATTATATTTAAGCATCTATTTAAAATATTTCATTATTATAGCTTAATTTAAGCATGTCATTTGTGTAGGACTTTTTCAATGTTATTCATTTTAATTGAATTTAGCAAATCTAACCGGTTAAATTTAATGCCCAAATATATAAGCTTAGAAAGAAATGATATTTATTTTCTAATTGTTCTTTTATAAATTATGCTTGCTTTTTTTTTCCCATTAATTGCTTCTTTCTTTTTTTTTTCTTATCTTTTCCATTTGTTTTTTGTCGATAAAAAAAAAAAGAAAAAAAGAAAAAATTGTTGAAAAAATATAAACTTATTGATGTTATATTTTTTTTATTTTTTAAATTAGATGAATTCTAATTAATATGAATGTTATAATTGTTTTTTCTTGCTTACAGCCTCTTATCTTTCTTGCTGTTTTATAATTTATAGATTAATTTAAATATTTTAAATAAAGTCATAGATTTTTTTTTTTTTTTTTTTTTAGAATAGAAGAATATTATTGCTAATTTCAAAATATATCTCATCTGCGTTTGTTTGAATATATTAATTATTCTTAAATATTGAAACATTCACATTTGCGGAAAAATTTGGAATATATAATATGAATAATATGGAAAAATAGATAATGAGATTAATATTTTTCAAATTTCAAATATTTAAATTAAGGAAGAAAAAAAAGAAATTGGTTTTATCAAAATTAAAAAATAATGTTGATAATATTTTAAATATATATATATATATTTGCCTTGGTACAGTATAACTTACCATTGAAGTAACTATCACAAATCCATCAATCCTGAAAACGAAATGAGGGAATTAATTTTTAGTAATCTAAAAATGCTACATCATAGATAACAACGAATTATAGCTTACATAATCTGAAATTGTTTGGTATTTTCATCCGAAATGTTAGCAGCAATGGGACATTATGCAAATGACCACTGACCTTGATGGTATAACATTTCACGAAAGGATTCACAAAAAAAAAAAAGGATGATTCCATGAAATGAATGGATAAAGAACAGAAATCATTATTTTCTAATAATTTCTGATTTCGTAAAGTAACTTATTCTCACGCTCCTCATACTTACTTCACGTAAGGATGCGTGAATTGATGTTTTCATGAATAGAAATCAGCAAAAAAATTTTTTAATAAATAAAGAAATAATATTGAAAGATAGATTGCCGATGATATGCGTGCCATCAGAAGCCTATCGTTTGCCATCAGAAGCTGATCCTTCTCCCAAATGACATGTTTCAAATCATGTTCAATGTAACAGGTATTACTGAAAGTAATTAAGCATTTCTAATAATAATGCTAATATGATTCAAACCCTAGGTAAGTGAATTTTTGATCAAAAAATGGGATTTAAATTTAAATCTAATACTTTTTGTTAAAATTACCTACTATCGATGTTTTTTTTTTTCAAAAAGTTCTTTCAATTGAAATGATTTTGCAACAACGGCGATGAAAATTGACCAATCTTGAAAAAGTTTGCTTAAACAAACGAAAAAAAAACTATAAATTATTGATTGCAAAATTTATTGACAATTTTCTTAGTCAATAAAATGATTAAAAAGCATGAAAAAAGAATAAACTTAATAATAAAATATGCACAATTTTAATAAGTAAAAAGCATGCAAAAAAAGTAAAATTAGTAAGAAAATAAGAACAAATAAAGTGAGTAAAGAGTATAAGCTATTGCGAGATAAAAAAACAAGTCAAAAAAAAGCATGCAAAAGAAATGAAATGCAAAAAAGCATGCAAAAAAAAGTGACATGCAAATAAAGGGAGAAAAAGGCATGCAAAACAGTAAAAACAAGAATGCAAAAAGTTCATTTCACTGAGAAATAAAATGCAAATCAAAAAATGATCATAATTAAAATGACATATTAAAATAAATATAAAATAAAGGGACCATTTAAGTAAAGGAAAATTTCTTAAATATTAGAGAGTGCTATAAGTTAGAAGGGAAGAGAAAATAGGTTAAATTAAATTGAAGAGTATTAAAAATTAAAAGATATAAATTTATTATATAAGTATGGATTAAATAAAATAATATAATTTGTTAGAAATAGAAAACAACGAAGAGAATAGAAATAATTAGGAAACGAAGGGAATAGGAATAGGGATAATTAATCAGAAATTGATTTATGATTTTTCTATCAGAAATTAAATAACAACTTTTTTTTTATTGATATTAATATGAAAACATTGAAGATGTCATTTTCTTGCTTCTTATTAATTTCAAATTACTTAAAATTTAAAAGTAAAAAAAAATAATGAAGTAAAAAGAAAAAATCGAAACAAATTAATGTTTAAAACGATTAAAACATAATCAAAATGACGGTAATTTAATTATCCGTAATCAATTTAAATAATACAAAAGATATGAAAAATGAAACAATCGAAAATTATAAAATTAAAATAATATTGACTATTATTGCTTTGGCTAGGGCCACCGTATACAACAGATGCCACCCTTTACTCTTGAAATTCATTTACTAAAGCCTTGAACATTGTCATCGAAGTCAGGACGTAGATTTAATTAGAACAGGTATGAGTAATTAATTTTATCAGGGAGAGGAGGATGGAAGTGTGACATATGAGAAATTAAAATGGTTTCTGAGGACTGGACTAATAATTAATATACTTCATCCAGTTCTACCCAATATCGTATCCCTATAACGTTTATATATATTGATATACTATCCCTTCATAAGAAACAGTAAATAAAATATTGTAATTAATCCATTGGAAATGCGAATGGCCTAGGCCTAATTACCCTATTATTTAATGCTGAGATGATGAATGTATGATGAATGATCAACGAACTTTAGCATTAAAAAGTTTTGATTTGAGGCAAGGTAAGAGGCATCTGTTGTTGTTGTTGCACTTCCAAAAATGTCATGCTTGCCTAAATACACTTTTCCAGGAACTCTATCGTTGACATCACCAAGGATTATGACCTTATCATTTGGAGGAATCTTTTGGATAAGATGGCATAGGTGTGTTTTTTAACAGGGGTCAACTTTGCAGAGTTGAAGCATATATGTTGAAGAGAACAACTTGTTTGCTTATTGTGTAGTGAGAGGAGTAGGAAGGTAATACGATCGGAATGATCAAGATTTTTTAGCAGATTTTCAAGTTTGAAAACGATGAAATTTCTAATTATGAAGCCAACACCTAAAAGGTCACTTTCGGTTTTGGGTTTTCCAGACTAGCAGATTGTGTAACCGGCACCAGTTATTGTCACCGGCACCGGCACCGTCTTCTACTGTTCTCTTTATCAAGCACAATTCCGGGTGTAAAGAGGACGGCTACCATCCTCATAAAGATGAAGTTCAATTGAAAGCAGCAATGCGGTGAGCAATTAGAGCAGAATGATGTTCTGAACGTCTTCTACTGTTCTCTTTATTAAGTACGGTTATAATGTTTCAACATGACAGTGTCAATTTGCGCACATCTTTTAGAGGCAGCGTATATCTTTGTCTTTTTTATTCGACTACCGGTTAGCTAACCGGATGGTGGAGATGATGATAAACTTTGATTAGGGGTCATCTTTTCTAGGTCTATGAAGCAAACAATACTTTCCTTGGAAAAAGATGGCTTGGTTCTTTATGATATCGCCGAAAAAGACCATCATTTCTAGGTTTAATCTCAAGCGACCATTGTTCTGAACCGCTTGCATGCAGGATTTACTCTGCGGCAGTGCATCCTATCACACCACCTTTCCGCTCCTTGCCTGTTGCTTAGCAAAAAGGCTTTAAAAAGCGGATATATCCTTCGACCTGATTAGTGGATTTTTTAGTTGAGGCATAGCATGCGTAAAACTGGTTCAAACAGGACCTAGCAACCTTGAATGGTAGCAACGAAGTTCTTAGATCATATGTTTAGTTGGAGTGTCCTATGTGTGTCTAGGATGGATGACCTCATAAGGCTAAACGAGTTCCATTTGCTAGGGTTTGTTATTAGAGTTGTTATTGTCCTAGATAATTACCCGAAGACTAATGAGCTTATTATGCCCATGAGCATACTTTATCTGGCTTTCAGTTGACACCTACCTGGCGTAGGAGGCCTCACTGGAAGCATTTGCCATCGCCAGCATAACTTGCAACCTCATAAAAGCACACTACTTTCCTCCTTCCTTTACTCCCGCGATAAGAGGACATCGGTGGACAAGTCTAGTCAAACAGTAGGTAAGGTGAAGTACATTTGTTAGAAAATTCATAAGGATAAGTTGGTTAAGTTAATCAAATCTTTTCTGTCTAACTTTTTTTTTTTTTTTTTTTGCCTTGTCACTCAAGATTTGCAGTAAACAGTTATTATTTGTCACCTCTTTTCTTCATTGTTAAAATTTCATTCTATTTTTTCGTCATTATTTTGCCTTTTCTACCGTATATTTTTTCTAAATCTAACTTTTAATAAAATGTTAAATCATTCCTAAAATATGATTAGTGAAAATTAAATTTTAATTAAAGATACTTTTATTTTAATTAAATTTTAATTAAAGACGCAATTGAAAATATCAACTTCGTTATATTTATATTATTTATTTAAAAATTATATTTATTTATTTAAAAATTATATCTTTATTTATTTGCTTATTTATTTAAAAATTATATCTATTATTTATTTAAAAATTATATCTTTTAAATAAAAAAGATCTAAAAGTTTTACTTGCTTTTTTCATATCTTAAAAAATTAAATGATTTATTTTTATTTTTTTCTAAATGTAAATTTTTTTTTTAAAATCATATCTCATACAAAATTATAAATTTCCTACATCATCCATTAATAGTTAAAGCATTAAATGGATAAAATTCATTTTTAATTAACTTATTTTATAGAGTATAAATTGTTAAAAAGTTGAATTAAATTATTTCATCAAGTATTGCATCCACCTTTTGTGCTTTCATCAGTAAATTCAAAATACTAATCAGTAAATTTGAAGCATTGTTATTAAATCAGTTAATAATTGATTGAAACAAAAAACACTCAAAAAGTATGATCATGAATAGATTACATTTTCCTTTTAATCAATCCCGATATTTATCAGATATTTTTAAAAATTACTCCAAATAATGACTTCATTTAAATTACAATGAAATCATCTAAATTAATAGCTAATATTGAACATGTTTTATTCAACAAATGAATTACTCAACTATAGGTCAAAGGGTAGAGATGAGAGATTATGAACATTGCTAGAAAAAGAATGGAAAAAAAAAAAGTTCTAAACCATTCCTAATTATACAAATGCTAATTTGAAGTTATCATTTGTCGCATTTTCTCTTTCTTTTTTTTTCCATTTAATATCAGTCATTTCTCATATTTCATCGTTAAAGGAAAATTTTATTTCTCATAAATTAATGAAAATTTTACAATTTTCACATGAAAATCATTGATATATTTCATATCAACCGTATCTTTTAGCTTTATTAAATCCTTTTCATAATCGTTTATTTAATGAACTATTTCAAAATTAGTTTATAAATAATTCAAAAAAAAAAAAAAAAAAAAAGGAAGGAAAAGATAGATACCTTTTATATAGTATTTTCATTCTCCTTTTATAATTAATGAAAAATTTTTTAAGAAAAATTAAAAAAAAAAACTCTTATCAGCATTTTCATTCTTCTTTTATCAATTAAAACTCAAATGAACGGATATGAATTTATGATGTATTTTAATATAGTCGTTAATTTGCATAATGAAATTTTTAATAAAACTGTTAATTAATGAATTTACGATATATCCTAAAATAGTTGTTAATTAACATGATTAAATTTTTAGTTGTTAATTAATAAATTTACGTTGTGTTTTAATATAGTTGTTAATTAGCATAATGCCAGCAAATTTTAAAAAAAAAAGTGATTTTTTGATATTATTAATAATTAAGTAAATGATTCCTTGATATTGTTAATAATTAAGTAAATGATTCCTTGATATTGTTAATGATTAAACTTCAGTAATGATATTGTTTTTCCTTCTAATCTTTACAGATCTTTTTTTTTCAATTTATTTATTAAATCGTTAATTTTTTTTCTTCTCACATGTATTTCTATATTTAAAAAAAAAAAAAAAATGATTTTAATTGTAATAGTTGTAAATTTTTGTAGGTGTAAAATTCATTAATTATGGATCAATGTAAGCAATCAAATGAGCTAGCAAATAGTATCATATTCAATATTATCCTTTTTATTATCATTATCATATCAATAATAGCAATTATTCTTGAAATATGGGTAATGTTAAAGACAACAAATCGTATTTTACTTCATCAAAATACACGAATTTTAATTATTGCACATCAGCTATGGCTTATTTTTCATTGCATCACAAGGTTGTTTTGTTTTTGTTTTTTTTTTTAAATTATTTAAATAGTTTAAAAAAAAATTATTATTTTAATCAAGAAACATTTTCTTTAAATATTGAAATAGTTTAAAACTTTGTTCTCCTCCAAATCATTTCTGAATTAGTATGATAAGTGATATATATATATATATATAATTTTTTTTTGTGATATATATATTTATATTCTTAAATGTAAAATTTGTTGAAATTTTTTCCACAAATATAAACAATAACAAAAGGTCAATTGATCAAATATATCAAAAGATCAATTAATCAAATATATGAAATTAAAATTCATAAATAAATGATTGATGTTAACGAGAGGAAGAAAAAAAACAAAAAAAAGTTATTTCATGATGAAATTATTTCAAAAAGTAATACTTGCAATTAAATACAGCAATTCAATGTATTGATAATTAATAAAAAAAGAAAAAAAATTTTTCCCATACTAATTTATTTCTATAAAGTTTAAAATTGAAATTAAATATCACAGTTAACTAAGGATTAAATTTAATTGGCTAAAAAAAAGAAAAAAAAAATGGTTGACAAAATGACACAGATAATGTAAACGAATAGAATTGCTAAGAAAAAAAATTTCAATATTCAAATAAAATTAGCAGATAAGGTGAGTGAAGAAAAAAAGAAATTGTATTCAATTACTGAATTGTATTCAATAATTTCATTCATTTCTTTCATATACCATTATGATTTATTTTAATTTTAGAATATTTGGTCATACTTATATATTGGTGACATATCAAAAGAATGATGTTGACAAATGTGGATATATGATGTTTATGTGGGAATGTCTCATGATACGAGGACCAATTACTTTAACATCATTTTTAAGTCGAACTTCATTATTAATAATTGTTATTGAACGAGCTATTGCTACACATTTCTCATCGAAATATGAAAAATTTGGCAAAAATATTGCTATAATTTTGATCATAGCTCAGGTACAAAAAAAAATTTTCTTTTATTTTTTTAAATTTCAATAATTTAAAAAAAAATTTATTTTATTAAAAAATTTGAAAATATTACAAAATTTGTACATTTTTAATTTTGTTAATGTTAATAAAATGCGTAAAAATTCTTCTATTAATATTGGTTGATACAAAGAAATTGCTAAATTTTTGATGATAAACAGGTGAAGAGAGAGAGAGAGGAGGAGAGGAGGGAGGAGGGAGAGTATAATGAACAAAAAAAAAAAATAATAAATCTTCATTTTACACATTTCAAACAATTTTCAGCAATTTTCATATACATTTTAAACAATTCAAATATATTTCAAACGTGTTCCAAATAGTTCAAATACATTTCATTTCAATTTAAATGCATTTCAAACAATTCAAATATATTTCAAACAATTCAAATATATTTCAAACAATTCAAATACATTTCAAACAATTCAAATATATTTCAAACGTGTTCCAAATAGTTCAAATACATTTCATTTCAATTTAAATGCATTTCAAACAATTCAAATATATTTC